TCCTCCCCAAAAAATCTTTGTAGTCTTGCTCAATTCAGTATGAATTTATGAATAGTTTTGATTAGCCCCAAATTATATTTTTTTCTGGGAAAACATGTTAATTATTTATAGCAATATCTTTTGTAGCTCTATTTTACCATTTTTTTTCTCCGATGATCTCATCAATGACTGGTGCCTATGACTAGTTTGGTAAAAGTTTATTAGCTAAGCTGAAAAAAACCTATGGATGCTGTAAGAACTTTGCTTGCTGATTTTTATGAGCCTCAAGAAGCCCATCCTAGGCAGCTATGACGTATTTAAAATTTTGTGTAGCTTCCCTGCTCAGATAGAGCATATGCTGAATTCTCAGTGGGTGTGGAGGAATTTACCTAAGCATTGATAAACCCTGAGGAGGGCACTGGGAGCTGTGTACATCTGATTTTCCTCCATGAAAACGCCATCAATCCAAAGATTCAGAAGACTTTGTCAGCTGTGGTTGAACTTCTCAGGTGACAGATGCTCTCCCCTTGTGCAAACAGTAACCTATGAGTGTGGGTTTTCTTCTTTGCCTGATCAGTTCCTATCAGAAGTAGAGGAAATGGTGCTTTGAGAGGGTATGCAGTATGCTAAAAAATAAAGCATAAAATAGTGGAAAATGTGATTTGTTTTGTCTTGGGAGTGAGCAGAGTGGAGAGGCAGCCCTCCATCTTTTCTTGCTCCCTTTTTCCTCCTTCTCTCTCATACAAAACCTGTGATAACTCACGAGTAGCGTGGATATAGTCTGCTGTATATGGCTAGAGTTTTGTGAGGGCTTAAGCTAGAAGCAAGGCTTGCATTAACTTTTTATGGTGGACAAATTATCAGCGATGGCCAGTGTGGTGCAGTGCTGCTAGGAGAACGGTGTGACTGTGAGGGCAGAATGTGACCACAGTGGCCAACACAGATGTCATGTCCCACCCTGGAATTTAAATTAGGTCTTGTGCTGGCCTTTTGCACAAGATTAATTTTATTCTAGAAAGGGGTGACATTTCTTCCATAGAAAAGCCAGTGCTCCAACAATCTAAATTAAATTAAAATAAAATAAAAAAAAAAATTATTCATATCTGAAGAGTGAAAAATTATGGTGAAAGACTAGAGTTTAAAATAAGTAGGTTTAATGGGAAATTTAGCAAGGTAACTTCAAAATAAAAAACCCCAGAAAGTTCAAGATCTCAACAACCTTTAGCCTGCCTTCATCTCACTGGACATCTTCCATGTATAATACTGAAAAAATCCCATAGATTTGCAATCCCTGTGTACAGTGACAAGATGAGCCGTCAATGTGCATCATACGTGATTTAAGGATGGCTTAAGCGCCCACCCAGGACACATGGACATTACAAAACCAGAAACTATCTTCCAGCTCTTGTGTCTATGTCAAAATCTTGACCTTTATGTTTCACATAAGGAACAAAGATTCCCAGCTTCCCATTAAATTCCCCCTTCCATGTACTGAAAATATTAAAACAATTTAATCTCCTTACAATCCCCAGTGGTGCCCTTTAAATCAGCTTTTCATTGGGAATTGACTACATACCTTCTGTAACATAACCTGAAATCTGGGAGTTGTAAGCTGCCAGCAAAATATGAAGGTATGCTACATTTGCCCAGATATATAAGATATGACAAGATTTAATATGTATTAAATTTAACAGGTGCTGTGATCTCCAGCGTAGATACACAATATTCAAAGGCGTACTCCAGAGAACTCTGAATTCCCTGCTAGTTCTGCATTTCTGTCCTTTCCAGCATATTTTTATCTGTAATCTTACCTCCCATTTCTTACAATTCAGATTAATTTTATTTAAGCAACATTATCTATATTTTTATCAAGTTCCTAAATTACAGGCAGCATATGCAACCTTAGCTCCAGCTTCCCAGAGGTGTTAGCTGGGGTAATTGCAAACTGTTTAGATAAGCTGTAGACTTTGACAGAAACAGAACAAAACTTGGATGCCACATTTCTCACCCAGTCAGGAAAGCTGTTTCTCTCACATGCTTACTGTTTGAATCTTTAGGTGGAGAAATTACTAGGGAGGAGGTGGATGGGGAGAAAGGAGAGTGGTTTTATTTTTGTGAAAGCTGCTTAGATTATGGAGAACCATCCATTGCTACCTTGCAGCTGGGATGTAAAGCCAAACATGTCAAATGCTGGCAAATATGAGTGATCGCATTTTACACGTGTTTTACATAGTCTTGAACATTGACAAGAGATGTAAGGCAGCCCAACATAGGGAATAAGATGCTGAACTACTAGGACACAGGGCCTCTCTTGAGCTTGCCAGCAAAGCTCAAGAGAGGCCCTGTGTCCCAGTAGTGCCAGCAAAGCTCAAGAGTCCACGTTAATCTAAAAATTCTAGGTCTTGCTGGGAAGAAGTGCTTCTTGATTGCCATTTACAGTGCTCACACTTTGATTTCGCTGGTACTGCAGGTTCTGTCTCCCACATAGTGACCCTTAGGTTTTTTTAATGTCCAACTCATTCAGACATTAATAAAGACACCATCCCCACCCCGGTATTCACAGTCATGTTGTTTGTTTCTGAACATACAACACACACCCTTGGTCACTCAGCATTCCCACATCCAGCAGTCCTTTTGTAGCTCAAGGAAGCCACAGTGAGCTTTCCAACCCAGTTTTCAGTGGGGATCTGCCAGCTGGTGAGAGGCAGGTTCTCTGAAAGTTTGTTTTCCGTCTTCTGTCAAAGGAGGATGTTGAAACATCACTTACTGAAAAAGCTATGTGAGAGGAAAATGTCATCATCTCAGTGTGCTAAATAGAACCATATTTTGCTCTCTGTCTGGATCAGTATTTTTAAAAAAGAGCAAAATTTTCCACTGATGACGCCCTGTACGCAAAAGGAAGGAGGCTGCTCAACACAGAAACAGAGACACTCATAGACATAAAGAAGCTGCATGTGGCTAAAAGCTGAAAATCATCCTATTAAAAACAGAAGTAAACCAAAGACTAGACCCCTGTAAACACAAGGCGCTGATGATGTTTCCAGAGATCTTAAAGCCCAGAGGAACCACTACGATACTGTAGTCTAGGCTTTTCCACAAGATAGGCCAAGCAGTTGCACTTGGTCGTTCCATCAATAGAACAGTATCTTCTGCTTTATCTCTAAATGATCTTTTAGAAGTACATTTGATTTTTTATTTGAAAGTCTCAACTGATGAAGAGTTGTTTGGGTAAGTGGTTTCAATGGCTATTTTCATGAACAAGAACGTGTGTCTTATTTATACCCTGAAATGCTCTTCCTTCAGTTTGCAGTCACTGGATTTCCTTTTGCTTTTATCTGTCTTTTCCTGGAAATCTTTTCCCCATGAACATACTTTTAAGGATTGCATCACACTTAACTTCCACTTGTGTAAACTAACCAGGATGATGTTTTCTCACTGTAAAGAAGACCATGTCACTGAATTTCATATGAAAAATGATGGCAACACTTGAGGGTCCTTTCCAAACGTAACTTTCTACAGTTCTATGGTGGACAGTACCTCAGTTGAAATTGTTCTGTCAAGATGTAATGTCATTCTAAAAGGCTGCAGTAGCTTTGAAAAGGTATCCTAAACATCAGATAGAACTTGTTTTCATAACCTAGAAACAATCAGGAATTAAGCACTTCTGCAACACGGTTAGATCTTGCTCCATGATCAGAATGAAGTCTCAAATACAGTTGTCCCCAGCCCAGGTGGTTGTCCAGCAGAGGACCTGGGTACAGATATGACTAGTTTCCTTGAGAGGAGAAAAATGTTGATCTGGGAATGCACGTTAGATGTGGAGGGTGGAAGTGTATAAATTCTGTCGTTCAGATGCATAAGTCACATCCTTTGTATGGGAATCTGGTGCCCTTCTGGACTTCGTTGGTTTATGGCTAATGTGAACTGATGAGTTTATTTACTGCTGCAACAGGCTGATTACACTCCCCTGAAAAAAGAAGAAGAAGGAGGAAGTTTAAGATTCCTTAGTGCTGGGTCCACATATGTTAGCTGAGATAATTTCAGAATCAGCAAGAATATTGACTGCTAGTCCTCTTTGGAATAGACACCTCTGACAGCCAGCACTGCGCTAGGCCAATCACATTTCACATTTATGAAGCTTTCACCTAGAAAAATGAGTCTTCTATAAAAATTTCTGTTAGCCTTGGTCTTTTTTAATAAGGCGTCAACCTCCATATATATAGTGGAAGTGCTAAATCCTCCAAGGGATTAGTTTAAGAGTCGAGCCGCTACAATATCATTTAGCTTTTAAAAATCAATAAAGTGTGTACCATAAGCTATATGTTACGTGACAGGTTACAACTCTGGCACAAAAGACCCAGTGTTTGAAAGCTAAATCTGGTCAAATTGAGACTGGATATGAAGCATCTGCATGGCTGTGGAGTTCGTTAACTACTGAAGAAACTTATTTAGGGACATGGCTGGTTTTCCAGTACTTGAAGACTTTAAATCAAGCCTTTGAGCATATGGATAGGGTGAGTATCAGGACTGGTGTACAGAGAAATGTTTTGGATAATTTGTTTGTCTTTCAGAGAACATTCTAGTAAAACCTACAAGTGAAGAGGATGACAGGAGAAAAAGCTAGCTTCGTTTGTTGGGACCACACAGTACGTGCAAAATGGACAAACTTGCGTGGTCAGCCCTGAAAGCTGATGGTCACTGTACTGACAAATTCACGTCATAATGTCACACATCTCATCTCTAAATTCTTCACACCTTTTTACAAAGTGAATTTTTTATGCTGCAAATCATGCGTCTTCCCATCACGACACTTGCTAGTTAATTTAAAACCACTTAGAATAATAGGGAATACACAGAAATATAATAACAGAATACACAGAAAGTAGAAGCAAAGTTGAGTGAGGAGCTGGGGTTACTGGAAAGACAGATATCTGTAGACTGAAAGCCTTACTGAGTCCCACAGAGTGGATGTATTGTTGTCTTGAATGACACTTGGCACTTCAAGACCTACAAGTAATTACCTGAACGAAGAATGGGAATGCTGCATGCTGCAGGGATCTCGAGACCATGTCCAGCGTGTTGGGGGAAAGGTGGGTCACTGTCGTCCAGTTTGGTTGAGTCTGGGCGATGCAGATCACATAGCCTGGTTGTACTCTGTAAGCCAGAATGCCATTGCCAAGGGCAGCTTCACACAGCGTTGGCTTGGGGAGTGAAGCAGCTCTGAGGGACCTGAGAGTCCTCAAACGCTGCCGCAGCTGCCCTCTCACACTTTGTGAAGAGTATTAACGCCCAGATCGACGCAGTGGTTAACTGCTCCTCTGTTCCCCTCTTGATAAAATTATATGAACTCCAACCGAAAAGGAACTGGGAGGATACACTTTAATGCTGCAAATACTTTGACTCTATATTAAAGTGAGCACTTCAGAAAAACCTTCCTAAGGCAGAAGAAAATGTTAAAGGAGAGGTTTATCAACTAAGTGACTAGATTCCTCCAGAACAGGAAATGTAATGACAGTGAGGGCACCACTTCTTAATTAAAGTTACAAACAAAATATCTCTACAAGAAACCCAGATGAGGCGAAAATTTTGTGGTTGGTATTCTAGTATGACTGTCAGGACCCACAGGACCTATAAATGTAAAAGGTCACAAGGTAAATCATAGAGATGAATCCCCTGTCTGAGGAGGTAAGGTATCCAGTTAAGAAACGTTACCGCATTGCCGCTAATTATGGATGACTTGATGGCTGTCTTACAGACTTGCTTTCAATGGGGATATGCCAGAGAAATGTTTGTTAGCCAGTATTTTCAGTGTTCCCATTGACTGTCTGACAACAGATGCTAAAGTAGGAGTAAAAATTACAGAACCATCTTTGGCTGATCTTGAATATGTTGATAATATTACCTAGCACAGAGACTGCCAAGAGGCTAAGAGGTTATTGGAAGAGCTGCAAAAAACTGTAGGCCTCTAGAGGATTTAAGATCAAAGTCATAAAACTAAAGGGTTTAGAATTTTTTTCAGTGACTTTAGTAGCCTGTGGTTGAGTTATAGCATATCCTTTGCAAATCTTTTCAGTCTTGATATAAAGCATTTTTGTAATGGAAAATCCCTCATGTCTCCCAGTAGGTGATTTCAGTGTTTAATTAGAAATGCTTTCTAATCCAAATTTCTAAGTGTCATAGTCTTTTCTTGCCAGACTAAAGAGCTCTTTCTTACCAGATATCTCTTCCCCACATAGGTATTTGTAGGTAAGATTGAAATCGCTTCTCAATTGTCTGTTGGATAAGCTAGTAAGTTTGTCTTTCTTCATTCCTCACTATAGAGCAGATTTTCCTGACCTCATATTAGTCATCAAATTATTTTCTGAACTCCTTCCAATTTCTACCATCCTCTCATGGGTGTGGATACCAGAACTAGAACCTTTGCTCCAATCACAATAATACTTTAGCTGTTGGCTAAAGTGTTCATTGCCTATTTCATTGCCTATTTCTGTGATGAAATTAGAAAGATGAGGGACGCACAGTTGTATAGGCAGCTCCAGGAAGCAATGCAGAAGAGCCTAAGATCCCATCCTCCAAGGTGCCTCTGGGAAAAGCCATTCTCTCTGGGAAAAACCATTCTCAAGAGACCACTTTCCCTAAGCCAAGGTTAGCCTTTGTAAGAAGCCTCAGAGATAAAACTTTGCCCATATTGTCGCTACATGCCTATCTAGCAGTGTGTAGACAGATTTTCTCAGGCAGTTGATTCAGAGTGAACCAGATTTACTCTTTGGCCATGAACCAGGTTCCTGGTTCAAGAACTTTCCTGACAGTTTTCCATGTGGGATATTATTCTGATTCATGTTTGGTCTGCAGCAATAACTCAGTCCTTCCATACAGTAATTTTATGCTTTTCTAGTTTGTTTTCTTGGAAGATCTCAAAAATGCCGTAAATATTCATTGATTTACATTCACAGCAATCCAAGGAAGAAAATAAATATGATGGCCTTAATAAGATTATTCTGAGTCTTGTTTTAATGCTACATGTGAAGTCACTTGCCGAGCATGAAATAGAGCCAGTTTCTCATGCAAACAGTATACTGACTCCATCGTATCTCTCTACTTGATATTAGAATTATTGCAGTCCACACTGAAAATTATCTCCTCCTTTATCTATGTAAGTAGCCAAGCCTGTTGCTTCATGACTCCCTTGCTATACTCCGCAAATACCTCGCTATGTGCTGGAAAGGAACCTCAAGTATGTGACTTAGCCTGTTGGGATATACTTGAAGACAAGGTGTTGAATGTGCCTCCTTTTTTCAGCAGCAGGGTATTTTCCTCTCAACATTCAAAAGAAGACGGAAATGTGAGAATAACCGCCCCAAAAGCATAATGGAATATTTCTGGTTCATGCATTCCTCCTTTTGGACTGCGTCCCCTTGGCTTGCAGAGAAAAGCTCCAAAAGGAGAGGGTAGGGAGTTGTTTTTTCAGTGTGTTTGCCTAATCTGTGGTCCTTCGTGCTATGAGAAACCTCTCAAGCAGCTCCAGCAAGAATCTTCTTTCTGCTCTCTTCCACATCCTCCCTTATTCCTAGGTCCCCCTCCCCTTCCTCACTTTCTTTCATGTGGATCAAGGCCTGGAAAATGACAAGCCTCTTGATTAATAGATACAGAAAGTCTTCTTATGTAATTTATTTGCTTTCTGCACCTGACTAGAATCACTAGGTTTATCTGGAAAGGAAAATATATCGCCCTTCCTGACTCCGAGTGGCAGCAGAGAGAGCTGAGCATGTGATATCAAGCTGCGCATGGAAAGCAAACAAAACGCCATTTCTGTATTTTGTAAGCATCTCAGGTCATAAAAGTGTCAGCACGCTATATTTCTTGCTGAGATCCTCTCTGTTTTATTATCTGAGCCCTTTCCATTGTGTTGAATGTGCAAGGAGAGTCTCCAAAGCAGGCAACATCTGTTTCCCTGTCATGTTTTTGATTATCAGCTCCATATTCCTTGCAAGTCTCCTGCTCACATATTCCCATCAAACTCAATGGGGGCTTCAACAGCGAGGACACTTCCTTATCTCCCTTCCCCCAGACTCTCCATCCATCATTCTCACATGCTGGCCCACTAAATGCTGATGCAAGAGGCCTGTTCTTTACACTTGGGTAACACTCATGACCTCTCCAATTTGTTTTGTTTGCGTAAGTCTAATTGCTGTGAGTATACCTGCCTCTTGGTCCTTAGCAGGGGAGAGGAAGGAGGAAGGTGGGACATCTGGCTGATTTTTGTTTTGGTACCTGTGAGGAACAGTTTTCTACTGTAGTTTTAGATTTGTTTCCCAGTTTTCTTCCCTCAAGAGGAAGTTTCTTCCCCTCTTTCTTAGCTCCCGGTTGCTAAATCAATCTCTCTGTCCTTTGCCAAGAGATCTGTTTTACCATTTATGCAGGAATTTCAATCTGCAGATGGGGATTCTGCCAATAAGAATCAATTAAAACAATTGTCTTTTGCCTATGGTATTGCAGTTGCAGGATATCTGGCACAGTGAGATCTGGGAATGCAGAGATGTAAGTTACATTGAGCTACGAGTTGTTTATCCAGTGATGTTTTTCATTTATTTTCACAGAATATTTTCATGTCCTGGTGCAGAACGGCAATGAACAATTGTAGGGTTATGCAACTAGTGTTGCAGTTGAGATGCAGAAGTGGCAGTCCATACAGGTGAATTGTATTTATTTATTTAAAGGGTAGATTCCTGCCACTGTAGGTAACTCACCCATCCATCCACAGTAAAGTCACATTGTGAATCCACGTGGCAGAATTATCCAGATTCAGCCACAAATGTTGCTGACATTCGTACTCAGGCTCAAAGCCTGCATAGAAGAAATGTATCCTATAGATACTATAGATCCTATATTGCTAGCAGTCCTGAGGTTACTGATGGATCTCTTAGGTTCCAGGCATGGCATGGCTTGCCTGCACACTCCAGCTTAAAGCACTCTCCAGATGTAGGGTCATAAAGGAATTTTTCTCCAGGTCTGGTTGGTCAGCACAACTGCTACATCTGTCCTGTTACGCCATGCATCCCTTAGACGCCCCCACATCTAGGGCTTCCTAGATGTGGAAATAGCCACTAAAATTACTTGCTTGCTGGGCATCTGTTTGACCGGTTCTGACACGGTTTCTGGTGTGGGGAAGGGAGGGACCCCAGGCCGTGCTGGTGTGTGAAGGGCTTTGCATCCCGTGGCTACCTGCTGAGCTCCTGGCCTTTGGTGCAGCTTCCCGTTCCCCTTCTGGGGCTGCTGTTAGGCAAACAGAGCATACCTGGGGCAGAAGCCCTGCAGTTCATCTTACAGGGATTCAGACACTGTGGTTGCAAAGTTGGGTGGCAATCTGTGCACAGCCTAAGCTCAGGCTGAGCGCTAGCTGTCCTCAAAGTCTGACAGAGGCACCAGCTTGTAGGACATACTGGAATTTAGGTCTCTGCCAGGTCCAGTGTGGTAATAACATAAGGTTTTTTTCTACCTCGAAGCCAGATCTGCACAAAATGTTTCCATCAAAGTTTTCCCGCTGTCATATTTTTTTATATCACCAGTTCTTTCCTTGGGACACACGTAGCTTTTGCACTTTGTGCTACAGGTTAGGAACTGGGTTTTAGCAGTGCTATGTTGCTTGTGATGAGGTGTGTGTATGGAATGCGACCATTTGGGCCTTTCTGTCTACCCTTTCTTACAGTCTTGTCCTGGACCTGGAGGAGACTGGACTTCATATTTATGTTGATTCTTGACAGTTCCTCATGCAGCTTGGTGAATAGGTGTGTGAAAGAGATTAAAGCCTTGTCTGGTCATTAATGGCACCAAACTGACTACATGATGAAAGGCAACAAGGACTGAATAGAGAAGAAGGGCCAAAGAAAGTGGATGCTTGCAGAGTACCTATCACTGAAGATGACTGCAGGAAACAAAAGATAAGGGTGAGGAAAAGCGGGGAGAAGAGATGGATGGACATAGCTCAAGGATCAGCCAGGTATGGAAGACCGTAGCCTTTGTCGATGGGCTCACAGAGCTAACTGTGAGGGCAAAGGCAGACTGTTGTGAGCGCCTGCCGTGCTCCAAAATATGAGTGTCCTAGAGAGGGAGTAGGAATTCCTGGGAAAATAAAGGGTGGGGGAGAAGAAAGGGAGCTGTAGTAAGGTGGGTTACTGGGATGGGTCAGAAGAGGATGCAGGGTATAAATAGCCTGACTGGGAATCATGGGCTGGGACAGAGAAATAGAAACGAGTGATCAGCAAGAGGAGGCAACAGAAACTTAGGGGGGAGGAGATTCACAGAGTGCTGTACAGGAAAAAGAGATAGGGCAGGTGAGCAGAGAAGCAAAAAAGTGCGAATGAACATGGGGGCATCCATGAAAGGCAGACAAGGAGGGGAATCAGAGATTACAAAAAGCAGAAGCTTGTTGTCAGGGATCCAGGCACAGAGCACAGAGTGCCACAGCTGGGGTTACTTATCCACAGCCTTTTGCTTATGTTTCCTACACCCTTTAATTATATGATAAGACTTTTTTTTTCATTTTTCACGTTAATGCTACCTTTCCTACCTATCTCAATGGTCAGAAATGTAATTACATAATCTACTATTTCCTGGTTTTCTACACTCTATATAGAAATCCTTTGTATCATTTTCGTATTTACTGCATACTTTTGTGATTGAAGCTAGCTAAAATTATTTCCTAGGCTGCTTTTTTAAA